TATTTTTTATGAAAACTCCCCTTAGAACTGACACTATCATATCACAGCACTCATGGGCAACAAAATCTGTGTTGACTGATACTAAAGACTGAATACATGTATTCCCCCCAAATTTATATGCTGAAACTCTATCCCAAATGTGATGTTATTTGAAGGTGGGGACTTTGAGGAGTGGTTACATCATGAGGGTGGAGCCCTCCTGAATGAGATTAGTGCCCTTTTAAAAGAGTCCCCTCTCCACTTCCACCAGGCAAGGAGATGGTAGTCCAGCTATTAACCAGGCCTTGGGGCCCCAAGAGACAACAGTCTCCTAGCACTTGAAACTGTGAGAAATAAATGACTATTGTTTAAGCCACCTGGCCTGCGGTATTCTTGTTACAACAGCTCAAATGGATTAAGACAACTGGTATCAGAGGGCATCATTAAATTTATATGTTATATAAATTCACAAAACTACATTTCAATGAGCTGCCATACTGCTGAACTTCAGGCAGTTCAATTAGGCAATAATCTGTGACTCTTGACAGATTCACATACCTTCGCCATCTTCGACCTCTCTGTTTAATACCACAGCAGAGGAGTCTCCATTAATGACATCCAGGAAGAAGTCTGCAGGGTTATTATAGGGCTCACAGTGGTGACCTACAGAAGAAGGCAACCCAGGCAAACAAGAAAAACAATATATATGTTTAAAAAAAAAAAAAAGCTGCAACTTGGACTAATGCTCCTTAAAACAAGGCAATGGCAGCTAAGGCACGGCAGGATCGTATTTGGGAGAAGCCAAGAGTATGTTCGCTCTCTGGGATCAGCTAGTGACTACCTCAATGCCAGTACCCACTTTAGCAATGACTGCTTCTCCACCTACTGAATTCAGGTCCAAATTATTACCCCCTGTGCTGCTATAGTTCCAGCAAAGAGAACAAGTCACCAGAGCAGCGCTCTCAAGAGGACGTGCCCAGCATGGCACACCTGAACGCTTTACCTTCGCTTCTTGTGCCTGTTCTTCTGAGCTCCACTTGGCCTATAGTCTTCTCTCAGATTCATCTCCCCTACAATCCCCAACGCAAGTATCCTTGATTTTACAAAGTAACAGAGATTGTACAAGAACAATTTTTAAAAGATAGCTAGGGAATATTTAAAACTATAGTTAGGGTCATAGAGCATCATCTATAATAATATCAAATATCTCTAAAATGAAGCAGACTGCATGAGTCATAAAAGCTTGGCCTGCATTGCTCAGTGGTTGAGCATCGACATATGAACCAGGAGGTCATGGTTTGATTCCTGGTCAGGGCATAGGCTTGGGTTTCAGGCTCAACCCCCCAGTTGTGGGGCAGCCGATCAATGATTCTTTCTCATCATTGATGTTTTTATATTCTCCCTGGAGGCAGCTGATCAATTTTTCTCTCTCATCAGTGTTTCTAACTCTCTATCCCTCTCCCTTCCTCCTCTCTGAAGTCAATAAAAATATATTTTAAAAAATAAAATAATAATAATAATTATACCTTGTCATCTGAAATAGAACCAGGCAACCCAGAACTGTCAGAAATATTGGTCCATTAAAGTAAGATTCAGAAGTAGTCATTCTATTGACTGGTAAGTCACTCATATCCACTCAAGGACTAAATCTTCAATCAAATATTACTACAAAATTAAGTAGCATCTCCATAAATCCTCATAGAGGCAGACCAACATCCCATGCAGGGGCAAAAATGATACAGCTTGATCTATTATATATATGGTTAAGAAGACAAATGATTTGGGGGGAAAGGGCGGTATTAGGCCTTTCCAAAAATGTTCAGTTAGACTAATAACTGATTATGAGGCTAACATATTAAACTGTTAGGAAATGGGCACTAGAGCTGGTAAGCAGAACACTATAGTGTTCAGTAGAAGTAGTCCTACACATACACAAAGTATGCATGCATATTCAAACAGACAAAAAAGAGACCTTAATGAAGACAAATTCTAGCACCAAACTGACCAAAGATGGTCTGGAGTGGTGGAAACCATGTTCTCTCTACTCAAAGATCAAGCAGCACTCTGACCACCTCCCCGCTCTCTTTCAGGATTCTATTAAGGAAGGATCTCACTGCATGAAAAGGTGACCATACCAACTGATGCAAAGTATCCCAGGGCCTCCTGAGCAGGCCCATGGAACATCATTTTTCCTGAGGCCAATAAGGTGAGGCTATCAAACAACTTGAAGATGGAGTAACGAGGCTGATGAATGGAGAAGATGATGGTTCGTCCATGTTTAGACATCCTAAGGTAAAAGTGAGAAAATAATGAGTCATTCAACATCTGGATCAAAAAAAAGTTTATTCCTACCTTTAGCTAATTTCTTCCTGGTTCAACTTGATTTTCTCTTACTAACATCATATCTCATATTCTCTCTGATAGTTAAGGGATCTATATTCAACCCTGTTATGAAAGACTGAACTTTCCTTTTTTTTCCTTTCTTTTTTTTTTTTTTTTTGGCTATGTACATAGGGTGCTTTATTCTCCAGAGCGATACATGCTACAGTGGGTTGGGCTTGCACCGATGTCCCCAAATGTACAGAATGGAGTAAAGTGGGTCTCTGACAAGTCTGATTTGCCTTGATGTGGAAAGGCAGAGGGGGAGGAAGGAACCAGGGATGTGTTCAGTCCTGTGCTGGTTCCAGTCTGGACTGCAGGGTCTAGGCAGCGTCCCAGGTGGTCACTTCCAGGAAGGGGATGCTGCCGGGCTTGGAGGGTCTTCTGTTCCATGTCTTCTCCTGGGCGTCTGTATCTCCCCATCCCGGGCAGTTGCTCCTGGTGCAGGCAGGGTTAATCCAGCCATCCTCCATTTCACCAGCTCTACATGTTCTGGGTTCATGGGACTAGAGCTGCGGTCGCTCAGTGCTGTAGCTCCCTCATCTCCCTTACTTTCTAATGATGGGTCTGGCAAATAAAGCCCCAGGGCTTGTATCTGATCCCAGATATCAGCAACTACATCTTCTCTATCCCCTGCTGGTGCCAGCGCCACCTCCTCTGGTTCAGGATCTTGGTTTAGGGGCTGGTAGGAGTAGCCAGTTGGGCCAGTCCTGGTTTCTTCCGGCTTTTCCTCAGGCTCCTCACTGCTCCAAACTCCAGTGCTTTCTGTAGGGCCCTGGCGTGGCCCTAGTTCCTCAGTCTGTTTAGGGAAGACATGCTCAGGGCTCGGGGTCTCCCCCTAGAACTACTGCGGCCACCCAGGCAGGGTCCACTCAGAGTCCACAACCAAAGCCCCACCTTCACTCAAGACTAAAGTTTCTTAAAGTGTGTCCCATGAATGGTCTAGAATCCACTAGAGCATTAAAACTACAGATTCCTGGACAGTCTTCCCAGACCTATTGGGTCTATGAAATCCATATTTTTAACAAGCACCCAGGTAACTTGTAAGTATGTTCAAGTATGACAGCTTATTATGGACTAAATATTAAAACAATGGTTGTATGTCCTTGTTTCTATAGAAATTGGTGTTCATTCTTCTGTCCTAATAGTAAAATTAACATTACTGAAGATTTACTATATCTTTTTAAATATTTATAGATAACCTCATCTGAACTTTCACAATATTGTTATGAGACAATAAGGCAGTACTGATAGTACCAATAGTCTTATAACCTTCCTTTTACAGATAAAGTCTAGAGGGTTAAGCAACTGGCCCAAGGTGTCACAATTGATAAGGGGCAGGGCTGGGATTTGTTGGCCCATGGCCAAAACATTGCTAAACAACCTTTACACAGGATTTATTACTTATGTGTCAAAGAAACAAAGGCCAAAAGTACTATTCAAAAACTATCATAAGTAAAAGTATTTTTAATAGAACTAGAGGCCCGGTACACGAAATTCATACGTGGGTATAGCCCCTAGGTCTTGCTGAGATCAGGGCCATCTTCCCCGGCTGCCAGAAGCCAGCCTGACCCCCTCACTTACCCCCAGTTCCCTGTTTGCCATCGCGAAATCAGAGCATACTGGCGGGGAGGAGGGACCGAGAGGTTGGCCATTCCTGCCCACTTACTGGCCCTGCCCCCACCATGGGTCGCCCTCTGTATGTGGGGTGACCAGCAAGGTGGGAGCCTTAGCCTGGTGCCACACACCCCCTGCCACTACCCACCCCTGGTTCCCCGTTCGCCATTGGGCGATGGCAGCCTGCCAGCCAGGGGAAGGGACAGAGAGGTTGTCAGTGCACCTCATAGTAACTGGTTGAGTGGTCATTCTGGTCATTCTGCCATTAGGTTCAATTTGCATATGACCCTTTTATTATATAGGATCATTTCAATTGAAACATTTTCTAAGTACCTACTATATGCTAGCACGTGTACAAGTTTGTTCTGTCTCAAAAAGGATCAGGTCAGTAAATCAATCTTATGTCATTCTCAATAATCCCACCCCATGTCCACTTCATGAGCCAATCCTGTTGGTTCTATCTTGAAAATAAACCCAGAATCCACACACTTCTTAACACCTCACCCCTACCATCCTAGTCAAATATCCTAGTCAAGGCCACAGCTCGCCTCAGGGCCACTGGCTGTTCCCTCCAATGAGAACTTTCTTCATCAGATCTCCAGATCTCACTCACAGCTCACATGGTACATCAGTGAGGTCTTCCCTGACCATCCTGCTATGTAATATGGCACCTCCCTCCTCCGCCATATCAGCCTTCCCTATCTATATTCTTACCCTGCTTCATTTTTCTTGAAACACTTATATTTGCTAATTGACTGTTCCCCTCCAACAAAGAAGGGAGAAATGTTTGTGTGTTGTGCTCATTGCTGATTCCCCTGCACCAAGATTCATACCTGGTACATAGCAGGGCATCAGATGTTGGATGAATGTGAGAACGATGTTCCCTTAGCGCTTACCTCTTCAGGAGCAAAAGGACAGCATTAGCTGTGCTTGAGTCTAGGCCAGTTGTGGGCTCATCCAGGAACAAGATGGATGGATCAGTAATAAGCTCCATTCCAATACTAGTCCTTTTTCTTTCTCCTCCAGACACACCACGAGTGAACTGAGTTCCAACCTAACACACAAATGTTATCATTATTAACAGAAACAACCACAGGCACTATTGTTTGTTGAGCTGCTAACAAGTGCCAACCCTATAAGAGGCACTCTGTCTGGTGTCCTCATATATTCTAAACTGCAAGTAAATGAGTATCTTGGAGAAGAGGTAGGTTTCTCTTTAATTAGACAAGTAAACTGAGGTGCAGGTCAAAGCAGGTTCCTGGCTAAGCCAGATAAGAAACCTATGCTTTCAACAGTTCTATATGTTCCCTTTCAAGTCCAATATTTAGTTTTAAGATCAGAAGTTAGAATTTAAAGACATGGCCCTGACATAATGAAAGCACAATCCACAAAGGATGATAAAGATAGGAGATGAATAGGTGACAGCATCTATAATATATTAGTCTCCTTACACCCCTCCCTTTCTCCCCCACCAAAAGAAGTCCTCCATCGGACTAAAAAACTAGGCCTTGGCAGGTAATGTGGATGGTCACTTTCTATCACCCACATTAGCACCTCTAAAATCACCATAAGGCCTCCCAAATTGACCCTATCTATACTCTAACACACCACATCATTCCTGACTCATTCTTTCAGACAAATTCAGAGGCAGAATATTCTACAGGTGACTGGCGCAATCTTTTCAACTAGTAAGTGTCACTGTGTGTGGTAGAGGAGCAGGAAGGGCTGGGTGAGGCAGGAGGTGGGAAACAACTCTTATAGTAAAAGTCTCCAAAGAGATAATAATCACATGCTACTCATGCCCTTGATTAGATCCTATTAAAAATTGAGCTATAAAATACATTTAAAAATAACTGGAAAAATATGGGATCTACATAGTTGATATTAAGATTTTAATTATGTTAGTTGATAATGGTATTGCAGTAACACAGGCAAATGTCCTTTTTTAAAAAGACGCATATGCCAGAGCCGGTTTAGCTCAGTGGATAAAGCTTCGGCCTGCGGGCTCAAGGGTCCCGGGTTCGATTCCGGTCAAGGGCATGTACCTTGGTTGCGGGCACATCCCCAGTGGGGGGTGTGCAGGAGGCAGCTGATCCATGCTTCTCTCTCATGGATGCTTCTGGCTCTCTATCCCTCTCCCTTCCTCTCTGTAAGAAATCAGTAAAATATATTTTTTAAAAAAAAAAAAAGCATAGCCTGGCCAGAGGGGCTCAGCTGGTTGGAGCGCAGTCCTGTGCACCAAAGCAATGCAAGTTTGAATCCAGTCAGGGCACGTACTGAAGGCAACCCATCAATGTTTTCTCTCACATTGATGTTTCTCTCTCTCTCTCTCTCTCTCTCTTTCTCTCTCTCCCTCCCTCCCTCCCTCCTTCCCTCCCTCCCTACTTCTCTCTCTCTAAGTATGTCCTTGGGTGAGGATTAAAAATAAATAAGTAAATAAATAGAGCATAGTAAGAACTCAGGGGTGAAATGTGACATTTATAACTGTCTTTAAAATATTTCAGAAATAAAAAACTAAACCCATTCCTGAAAAAAGATGTTAACAACTGGGAAATCCAGTATATTAATTACACTGCAATCATGTCATAACTATAGCAATCAGACTATTCTCTCTACATTTCTGTTGTGTTTAAAATTTCATAAAAATTGAAACATCTTTATGTATTATTTCAGTCAATTTGATAAATTTATTCTAAGGGAGAGAACAACTGCTTTCAACTTATTTTGCCTAGAAATCCTGGAGGAAGAGAAGAAGAATATCTAAAAACAAAACAAACAAAACAAAACAAATAAAAAAACAAAGGGTGGAGGAAGAGAAAACAAAACAATGAAAGTTAGTGAACAGACACTGAATGAGACGGGACTTACACAGTTAGTGAGGGGGAGGAGCAAGCACTGCCATCACAGGGAAGGGACATGTAGTCTTTGCAAGAACACTTTTACCTACCAGCCCACAGGGCCATACTTCCCTCCAGGACTCAATCATTTTTAAATTTCTTTTTCCTGGTTAATATCCACCTTCATATTATGTAACGAGTCACTTTTCTCATCATTACAGAAAGCAGCCACTTTTAACCGCACACATTATAGAAACTTCTGAATAAGAGTAACACTACCCACACAGGGGAGGTCCTACTTGCTGGCAATGACCCCATCAGTTGTGTCCTCATTACCTTGGAATCTGCCACTTTAGCCAAACCTAACTCTTGAATGACCATGTTTATCCGTTCATTTTTTTCATGATTCTTCATAGTTGATGGAAGACGAAGAGCTGCTGAGAACTGTAAATTTTCTCTCACTGTCAGAGTTCCCATCACAACATCATCCTGAAGGCAAAACAAGACATATCAGGTCTTTTCTACTACCATCAGTCTTCAGTATATACAACTTAATCCACAAGAATAACATGCCTGCGGGAAAGTTCTAGCCAATGACAAACTTGTAATTACACAAATTATACCAATAACTCCATATTCAGATAGCTGCAACCCTGATGGAATAATTCTCATTCCCTTTCTGTACACCCGAATAGAACAGAGGTAATTATGATTACTACTAGCAGACATTTCCAGACTGCTTTATAGAAGGCTTTGACAAAATATATTTCTAAGTTAGGACAGGGAGAGAGGGGAAGGTAGGGAAAAAAGTAAAACGGTAGAGTCTTTTGGGAATATGACAACTAGAATTGATATGATTGAACTTATAGGTGTCATATTCTAGATTCTCCTTGCCTTTTCATTTAACATTATTTTATAGATTACGGGAGATTACATATAGCTGGAATAAATAAAGTTGGTTCTATGCTCATATTGTGTAGCCAGTGGGAAGCACACTGAGCAGTGGGACCAGGAGACCTGGCCAAGGCACTTGTCCAGACAGAAGAAATCGAAAAGGGAAATCTACGAATACTTACTTGTACCACATAACCTGAGTTGCATTTGAAATTGGCAGTTTGAGGTGCTCCATTTATCAAAACATCTCCAGATAATCCCAGTGGGTCTTTCCTTGCAGCTAAGATATCTAACAACCTATAAAAGGACATGTATGGTGAGTTTTTCTCTCCAATTCAGTCTATATCTCTCAGCTACTCTGAATGCAAATTCCACTCAAGTTAGAAAATGAACTGATCAAGAAGGTCTAGGGTTCAACTATAATTATATAATTTTTAAATTCTCAACTTCCTTTTGTCTACTCTATGCTACAATAAAGCCCCAAACCATGAAAACAATGCACTGTTGGCTGATCCAGCACAGACCTCCCCAACAGCCCTCCAAGTTGCCTGACCTTTGGGTCCCAACACAGGCAATGTGCTCCTTTAGCTGAGATGTAAGTCTTCACTTATGCCCTTGGCTCCATCTCTTCACTTTTAAGTCATCCCCTTCCTTTTCCTCCTCATTAGCTCACATCATAGATGACAGCTGTATGCCATCAGCTATCACATCCTGTGAGTAAAGCTGCCCTACTAAGACTTCCTGCTCCTCAGGATAGAACCACAACTGGCACAGCTGCATGTGAGCCACAGTGCCTAGACCCAGACTAGACATGCAGCAAATATTCAATTAATACCTGCCCTCGTAAAAGTGATCTGTAAAAGCACATTAAAAATGCAAAGGAAACGCTTACTGATACTCTGTTATACTCACGAAGATTTGCCTCCACCTGTGGGTCCCAGAATGGCGTTGAGGCCAGGTCTCATGATCCCACTGCAAATGCAGAAACAGACTGATTTACTGGTTCACTTTAAAACTAGTTCTAAAAATTTATAGTCCGCATTAAATATACTCAATGAAAGGTGATGAAATCAAACAGGAAACAAGCACAAACAAACTTATAAAGGAAAAGGAAACCAAACTATCAATTAATAGAAGTCTAGTACACAAAGGATGTCATCACTAGTCAGCATCTGTAGGAAAAATGGCTCAGGTCCCTCTAAATTCCTTTACTTATTCTCTAAACTATATACACATTTTGGAAAAGGACACGCAAATGTTCACATTTCCTTGAAATAAAAGATTCTGGTAAAACATCTGTTACGCTTACTTCTCTTAACACAATGTAAAGTACATCACGGGTCTTGAGTAGTGTTAGGTGATAATTATTTGCTACCTATTCAACTTCTACATGGATTTCTAGAACCACCAGTATTAATGCTCTCACTGCTCAAATCTAGTCAAATAAAGAAACAACATAACTGAAGTAGAAATTTAATGGCTAGAAAAAGCACATCAGATGTTAAAAAGAAAACCTTACCAGGTTTTAATGCTCACAAAATTCAGTAGGGGGTGTGCAGGAGGCAGTCAATCAATTGTTCTCTCTCATTATTGATGTTTCTATCTCTCCCTCTCCCTTCCTCTCTGAAATCAATAAAAACGTATTAGCCCTAACCGGTTTGGCTCAGTGGATAGAGCATCAGCCTGCGGACTGAAAGGTCCCAGGTTCGATTCTGATCAAGAGCATGTACCTTGGTTGCGGGCAAAATCCCCAGTAGCGGGTGTGCAGGAGGCAGCTGATCGATGTTTCTCTCCCATCAATGTTTCTAACTCTCTATCCCTCTCCCTTCCTCTCTGTAAAAAAATCAATAAAATATATTTTAAAAATCTATGCCCAATGTCTGTGGCATTGGTAGGTAAATCATAATTTACTCCCCAGAGAATCCAGGATCTATTCCAGTGGAAGGTGCAAACAGAAGGCTATTTCATGCCCAGACAGTGACTTTCACAGGGCAAACACTATGATGTACAGCTGTCGTGAGTGATAGACATCACAGTGCAGCTGTGCTCAGTGCGCCAATCCAGGAGGATCTCAGCACTGCCTGCCTGTTGTGTCAGAACTGTCATGAGTGTAAAATGCCTGGTGGGTGCTAGGGTGCAATTTACCTTCTATTTTGCTCCTTAACTGAGGGGCCTCTCACTGAAACATTGGACAAATGCAATGAGTTAGGTAAAGCAGACATAAGCTCTAAAACAGAAAAATATCTTATTCTTTAAGTGACCTTTCCCCCCTGATGTAATAAGACATGCTAATGGTTGGGTGAACTTTTTTTTTTTTAAATATATTTTATTGATTTTTTACAGAGAGGAAGGGAGAGAGATAGAGAGTTAGAAACATCGATGAGAGAGAAACATCGATCAGCTGCCTCCTACACGCCCCCCACTGGGGATGTGCCCGCAACCAAGGTACATGCCCTTGACCGGAATCGAACCTGGGACCTTTCAGTCCGCAGGCCGACGCTCTATCCACTGAGCCAAACCGGTTCTGGCATGGGTGAACTTTTAAGATGCATTTATCTATAGTTCTTCACGTACCTTCTGCATTGACAGCTACCTACAAACTGTTTCTAAAGTGACGAGAGATAAGCTTGTTATGCATTAAGACTTCCTTCCTTGCCAGAAAACCTTTCCAGGCTTTAAAAATCTCTACTCAAATAAAAACCAAGCAATCCTAAATGATTAACCCAAAAATGAATGTGAACGTTCTCAGACAAAGAATTTTACAGGTACCTGAGTTGGCTTCCTTTGGCACTAAACCCTAGCATTCTAGAAAACAAAGGACAATCCTAGCTGCAAGAGTCCCAGTTTGGAACAGTGGCTAATTCTCCCTCCATTCACTCAACACAATTATTCAGTGTCTATGTGTGTACAAGACACTCAGCATAAAAGTTCTAGCCAGCCCTGGCTGGTGTGGCTCAGTTGGTTGGGCACATCCCATGCACCAAAAGGTTACTTGTTCGATTTCCAGTCAGGGCACATGCTGGGATGCAGGCTCGATCCATGGTAGAGGACATTGGGGAGGCAGCTGATTGATGTTTTACTCTCATGTCAATATTTCTCTCTCTTCCTCTCTCTCTAAAAATCAATAAACATAAAAAAAAAAGTTCTAGCCTTCTTGGATTCTACATCCTAGTCCAGGGATCAGCAAACTACAGGTGGTCGCGTTTTCTGCTTTCAAAAACAGTGTTAGTGGAACAGAGCCGCACTCACCCATTTATGTCTACGGCTGCTTTCCTGCTACAGTGACAGAGATGAGTAGTTACAACACATAGGCGTGACCCATCACAATGAAAATATTCACTATCATAAAATGTTTGCTGACCTGTTCTAGTCTTTAGTATGCAATTCCCTTGTTGCCCCACCCCACCCCACCCCACCCGCCTTCAAAGCCTATTCCCCACCCTTCTTTATTGATTTATATAGCATTTATGTGCCTGAAAGTCTCCCTCACTATATTGTAAAACTTTGCAACAAGAACACTGTCATTCTTTTTCATCACCATCCCATAATATGCAGGGAATACTGAATACAAGAAATGAAACCTAGCTACAGGATTCCTGTCATATCTATTGCATCTTAGTGAATAATGATAAATCTCATTTAATAGGTGAGAAGTCAATGCCATTCCCAGAGCTTGGAGCATTGTCCCTCCCTACCCTGCCCCACACACATACACACACACACACACACACACACACACACACTCACTCACATACAATCTTTACTTTCTCTCTCCCCACGGCCCTGGCCCTCCAATTTAGGGTGGTAGCTTCCATGTCTCTTAATCCCTGTATCACAGCAGAGCAACACAGTGAAGTACTTTAGTTGCCCGAATCCCCATTGGACTAGAGGTTGCAGAGAACAGAGAACATACCTCTGTCACTAGAATCTTGCACAATATCAGACCTCTAACAGATGTTAAAAATTAGTTGAATAAATGAAAAAATAAACTGATGAACAAAATAGATTCAGAGACACGGAAGCATAGAACAGAACAGGGAATCTCAGAGAGAAGGCAGGAGAGGGGGGAAGTGATCAACCAAAGACCTTGCATGCATGTATGCATAAGCCATCAACACAGACAACGGGGTGGTGAAGCTAGAAGGGAACATATGCAATACTTTCAACAATAAAGATTAAAAAATCAATTGAGTAAATGAGTCTTTGAATTTTTAGAATTAATTACTTACAGGAAAAACCAAATGTTTAAAAAAAACACAATAAGAAGTATAAAAAAAACTTATGCAAAACAGGCATACTGACTGGAAAGAAAACTTAGATACATTCACTATTCTATCATGTTCACATAATGTATCAGTCGTTTCTATTAGACATAACCTCCCCTCTTAGTGCAAAAGTGATGGAAGTGCTGGGTGGAGGAGCAGCAATGGCCAGCACCCAAGATCATAGGCTGCAAAGGGAGGTGGGAGGAAGAGAGAGGACAGCTGGAGGGTGGGGAGATTGCTTATATTAAGGAACTAGGAAATTAACTGAACCCTGGCCAGTATGGTTCAGTTGGTTGGAGCATTGTCCTGGGCATCAAAAGGTTGCCAGTTCGATACCCAGTCAGGACATATATGGGAGGCAACTGATTGATATCTCTCTCCTAGATTGATGTGTTGTTGTTTTTTTCTCTATCTCTAAAAAAATCAACTGAGCAAATCATTTAGGATATTAGGATAGTGAGAGTCAGATTTTTCACTTTTTGAGAAGATGTTTTACAAACATGGAAATGTGGAAATAACTCTGGGATATTAGATCAGAATTGGAGGTCATGGGTTTTGATCTATATACACAGACAGATATAAAAAGGTTTAGATGTATCTATGTACACATACATATGTTTCCTAGGTCTGTCCACTGAGAAGGCCTAGGAGCTTTGCCATCCCAATACCAATGAACACTCCAAACACCCAGATCTCAGTTAGTAAATGCAAAACTTCATAAAAAGGAACCAGGTGGGGTAAGTTCAGTGAGTCTGGAACTTCTTATTGTGCCAACAAAATACTCAAAGAAAAGAATGTGTCAAAAGAATGAATTAAAAAAATAAAACACAGAACCTACCTTGAAAGGTCTCCCACTGATCAAATCAGAAACAATAACAGTATCAAGATTAACGATGATAACATATTATTATTGGATAGGACTGAATATAACATGAATCCATGAGTCTATACTAAAATAAATAAATGAACGAAGAGCTGAAGAACAAAGCGTTACCCTTTTAGTGGAATGCAAACTAATCCACACAGAACAGCAAGATGAAAATAGAAAATCACCCTGTGGTAACTGTCACAGTGATAGTTATTGCTCATTCAGGCCAGAGACATCAATAGGGCTGAAGCTGGTGAGTTCAGGTTTCACGAAAAATAGGGTTTTGGAATAATGTCAGGGTAACATTAATTAATTAATTAATCAATTTCCTTTCCATGTGCACACCCCTGCATTAGTCCCTGGACTACCTGCGTTAGTCCCTGCACCAGAGAGATTAATTAATTTCCTTTCCATGTGCACACCCCTCAACATATTTATTAATGACATAGGGGAAAATGGTGACATTGTGGTGAAAGCTGGCAGATACCAACATGACCAGGTGATCAAGATTAACATCAGCCTTGGCCCGGTGGCTCAGGTGGTTGGAGTGCAGTCCCAAACATCAAAAGGTTTCTGGTTTGATTCCTGGTCAGGGTACATACCTAAGTTGCAGGTTTGAGCTCTGGTCGGGGCGCATACAGGAGGCAATGGATCGATGTTTCTCTCTCTCTCCCTTTCTCTCTGTCTAAAAGTCAATATAAGCATACCTTCAGGTGAGGATTAATTTAAAAAGATTAAATCACCTGGAGAGAGAGACGGGAAAATACCAGGTTGGATGAGACTGAGGAGACATGATGTGATGGTCAGTCAACTATGTGAAGAGCATGGTGGCCAACAGCCCCTAAGGACCCACCACTGCAGCTATTATGAGGTTTAGCAACCACTCAGACAATGACTGAGAGGTTACATAGGAGAGGGTCCTCATCTCTGAAAAACAGAACTGGAGGAGTTAGGAATAATAGAGCAGGGTACAAACAGCTCTCAAATGCTTCAGAACAATGCCAATGACAATGAGTTATCTAATATATAAAATGACTAGCAAATTGTGGTGAAATGTTAACAGGTGGGGAATCTGGCTAAAAGGGTTATGTTCCCACAATGGTTAAGTTTGAAATTATTTCACAATAAATTATTAATTTTTAAAATCTCCCAATAGTATAATGAATTTCCTTGGAGATTATATGATATGAACATCTATTGGAATGGATTTTTTTCCCCCATAGATCTTCAGCATTGATGAGAAAAAGCCCAAATGCTAGGTATGGACACAAACTAAACATAACAGAATGATTTTTGATGAGGTAGTAAAATCTCATCTTTTGGAATTCTCATTGTCAGATTTTATCTTCTTTCCTGTGCAGAGGACATCAGGTTCTGGCTACTTAGTTCTAAAAGTGAAGTTATAAACTGTCCAAAGGAAAAACAAATATCTAGCTTCTCATCAGTTTTTTTAGAATATTATTACTATTGTGAATGGTGGTGGTGCTACCAAAAGAAAGTAAAAAATAAGATAAATGAGAACAACCTTTCTCCCATCTCAGTAGCTCTGTTTAGTTGAAACCCCAGCAGATAAGAGAAAAATTAGAAACACAACATTGAATAAAAGAGATGACCTTTCTCACGGATGCCTAAACCAGAAATATGAGTAAGCAAGACAATGCTGATGCCCTATGAGACTTATCAGGGCAGTCACTTCTGAAGGTATATAAATGTCCAATCCCTAGGTTGTACCCCTGAAACTAAGATAATATTGTATGTAAACAGTAATCAAAACATAAAAAATTATCTACATAGATATAAAAGGCTAAGGGACTGTCCAACCAGCCAATACCTATGACATGCACTGACCACTAGGGGGCAGACGCTCAAGGCAGGAGCTGCCAAGCTGTGGTCACTTGGCCGCAGTGGTTCTCAGGTGATGCACTCCAGAACCAGAGAGGAGGGAGCCCGATTCCTCACAATTCCTCTTGCACTCCAGGGCCTCTTGGGGGATGTCAGACAGCCAGTTTTGGCCTGATCCCCAGAGGCCAGGATGAGGGACCCCACCTGCCAGAGGAACCCTGCTCACTCCACAGATGCTTTTTGAGCCGCAGTGCCAGCCCAGGTGCAGCCGGCTGACGAGGGACCACGGGAGGTTGGCTCCAGGGCATGTCTGGCCCATCTTGCCCAGTCTCGCTCTACTGACCACCACTTGGGACCACCTGCATTAGTCCCTGGACTACCTGCGTTAGTCCCTGCACCAGAGGGATTAATTAATTTCCTTTCCATGTGCAGGAATCCATGCACTGGGCCACTAGTACATACCTAAAAGTAGATTTGACTTGAGTTTTTATGAACATAACAATGCACATAAAGATAACTCATGCATTGCAGATTGCATACCATTGAACCATAAAAACATTATGAAGTCTTAAACATATGACAATTTTAGGGTATTTAGCTATTAATCTACTAGCTTTAAACCATAAGCAAGATAAATGTATACCAGGAGGCAACAGATTTCTTCCTTCCTTCCTTCCTTCCTTCCTTCCTTCCTTCCTTCCTTCCTTCCTTCCTTTCTCTCTCTCTCTCTCTCTCTCTCTCTCTCTCTCTCTCTCTCTCTCTCTCCTCCCCCCCTCTTTCTCTCTCTCTCTCCCCCTCCTTCCCTCCCTCCTTTCCTCTCTCTCTCCAATCAATGAACATGTCCTCGGGTTCAGGTGAGGATTTAAAAACAAAAAACAAGGTGAGTCACTTCTATCTAGGCATGTAGTAAAAGATAAAAGCTTTGTGACTACCTACCTCTCCTTATTTTCCTGTTCAGAGTTTCTTAACCAATACAACAAAGCAACAAGGAAGCAGGCATGACAGTATGTGCTGCTGCATGAAGAAAGTTCTATCAACTCCACACAGCCCCTACCTCACCACCACCCAACCAATCCCAGGTCCCTGTTCTTTCTTCCTCAACCACATGCAAAATGTTTCTCCCCTTCTTGTCATGTCCTAGCCTCCTGGGAGCAGTGGCTGTACTAACAGAAAAGACCACAATCCCATAGAACGCATCAGGAAAACATGAGAAGCATCTGATTCTACACAGGTTGGAGGCCATACCTGGCCCAAGGGCTCTTATACCACTCCCCCAGTCTCAGAGAGCTGGAAAAGTGCGTGTTTTATCCAGGAATAATCATTTCCCCCATCAAACAAACACACTAACTAAACAAAACACACAGGCCATGGTGTCCGAGAAACCTAGATGCAGCCCCCACTCCACAGAGAGGAAGAATCAGGCTCAATGCTCTAGAAATCAGAAAAACACGAACAATCCTCATGGCTGGCACCTGTGAAAGAATAGAGACATGCGGTCCCAAGGAGGTTCCTTTCTCCGTTCCCTCCTCACTCTGCCACCACATGATAAATTCATTCATGGAAGAAGAGAATGAAAATCACAGTATTACACTGATTTGGACCCTAAATTCTATCATGCTGGACCTCCACTGCATAACTTAAGCTAAACTAGAGTTTTCTTGTATTTAAGTAGTTTCTGCCTATCTGTATAATGCGGGAAAGCATTAGGTAAATTGTTATAGATGATAAATGACTGTATGGACAGGCCACTCATTTAAAACAAGTCTATTTGAAAACCATAGTACTTTCACAATATGTTATCTTTCAAATTCCTGACTCTTGCTTCTAGAACATAAAGGACATAAAGGGCATAAGTACCTGAAGTGTCTGGCTCATAAACCACAGTGACAGACCTTTTCTTTCACAGATTAGAATACTGAAGACAGAGATTACAATTCTATCCCCACAGTCGGGAAGTTGTAAGTCACACAGCCAGGCCTCTTCCCACTAAACCACGAGGCTTACCCAGGAAAAGCTAAATGGCACATTAATTATTCAGTTTCTCAAACAAAAGTTGATGCACATGATACGACCACTTTAAAAACAGTTTGGTTATTCCTTTAAAAATTGAACATACATATACCTCACATGCGATCCAACCATTTTATTCGCAGTTGAGGAAAACAAATGAAAGCCTGTGTCTATGTGTCTATGAGGGACATACATACAAATGTCCACAGCACCTGTGCTTGCATTGGGCTAAACCTGCGGAGCTCACTGCTGTCGATAAAGCTGTATAAACAAAAGTTCATGCACATACTTGATATTCGTCAGTATTTCTTTCTCAACTGTTTTTCGATGACATAGAAATCCACTCTGCACTTTCACTCGATAGCAGATGTTATGGAAACTTAACACGGCTCCTTCGGAAAATGTCTTCTGGTCATTGGGGACGGTCCCCGGGAGGCCATCGGCGTTTGTTTGTGACATTGGGATAAAAACTTGGTCATTTCCGGAAGACATCTGGAGAGCGTCTGCCTTTCTATAGAGAGAAAAGCAACAGTAAGTTTATAGTCTGTCTTGTTACAAACTTCCAGTTATAAAAGAAATAAGTCCTGGGGATGTCATGTGCAGCAGGGTAAGTAGAGTTAATAATACTGTATTATATGTTTGACAGTGCTCGGCATGAGAAAAGAAAAACAACTTGTAACTACGAGGTGATGGATATTAACTAGACTTATTGTGGTGATCATTTCACAATACATATAATTATTGGCTCAGTATGTTGTACACCTGAAATTAATGTTCTATGATAATTAAATCTTAATTAAAAATAATAGAAATCCAAGTTTTTAAAAAATAATACAAAATATCTCTTTAGTCATTTTTATAGTGATTGTATGTATAAGTAAAAATATTTTAGATATACTGAATTCAATAAGAGATATTACTAACATTAATCATTGTTAATTAACATTAACAATAAGAGATATTATTAACATTAGTTATAATTAACGTTATCATTAACAAGTCCATTTTAAACTGCACTGCAAAAATAGATCCATTTCTGATGAGCAACCCATATCACTGTGATAAGAACAATCTTAGAACCATATTAGGGAGGCAGACACAACTATGAATGCATACACTGCAATTAGATTCAATTAAATACCTAATCTATCTATAATAATAAAAGGGTAATATGCTAATTAGACTGGACGTCATTTTGGACATTTTTCCTGATGAAGCTAGGGCCAGAGGGAAGCCAGCCCAGGTCCTCAGTGCCTGTGGGCGGCTGGAGGAGGGAAGCCCGGGTCCTGGGTGCCAGAGGGAAGCCGGTGCCGGCAGCCGGGGGAAGGAAGGAAGGCCTACTCTTGCACGAATTTTCATGCATCGGGCCTCTAGTGTGTGTGTGTGTGTGTGTGTGTATGTGTGTAAAGACTAAT